TGAATTTATGACTAAGCACAGGAGCAGTTTGTATAAATAGTCACTTATTTCAACGGGTTTTTTAGCGCACCAGTTAAAGTTTGTTGAAGCATACTGTTTCGCCGAAAGCTATCGCTGAACTAATCACTGCATCAAACAATCAAAATCTTCGGGCTTGTATTTTCGCATTCTATACTTACTTACTTAGATACTTAGATGGCCCGTCCTCACGTGACGTGCGGGCCCCAGTACAGAAGTCGCCATTGATCCCTGTCCCTCGCTTCGGACATCCACGATCTTCTTGGTCGTCGTCGGTGGCTGCGTCCACGAGTTCCAGGGGCAAGAATCGTATCCAGCTGATTTCTCAGCTGGTCCATCCGTTCCACGAACACGTCTGCCCATCTCGTCGGTGGTCTTCCTCGAGGACGTTTGGCTTCGCGAGGAATCCATTCAGATGTTCTTAGTGTCCATCTATCGTCCGTTCTTCTCATTATGTGACCGGCCCATCGGTGTTTCGCTTTCGCAACGTATTCCGCTGGGTCACGAAGACGGGACATTCTTCTCATATCCGTGCTGCGAAGTCCGACTAGATGTTGCTTGTGTCGGGTCATCTTCAGAAGACTGCGCTCGAGCGCTCTGTGGGTGGTCCTTAAAGCTTCGTGGCTACGGTATCGGCCCAAGTCTCAGCTGCGTAGCAGAGCGCTGGGAGAACGGTTGAGTCGAACAGGTGGGCACGAAGCTCCGGGTCCGTCAGTTGGTCGGTGGCTTCCTTCAGAGGCCCGAAGGCGGCCCAGGCTGCTCTTCTTCTCCTGTTAAGTTCTTCCCTCAAGTCGTTCTCCATGTTCATCGAACGTCCGAGATACACGTAAGAAGACGTCTCCATGATAGGGGTGCCTTCCAATTCCATTTCTGCATCTTCGCAAAGGGCGTTCTTCATGAACTGAGTCTTCTTCCGATTTATTCGCAGTCCGATCTTCTTCCCTACTTCGTTTAGTTCCTTCAGCATCGTTTCTGCTTCAGTGATACTGCTCGAGAAAAGGACGATGTCATCCGCAAAACGAAGGTTGGATAGGAATCTCCCATCAACTCGTATGCCTCTCTCTTCCCAGTCTAGTGACTTCATCACCCACTGCAAGGCCGCGGTGAACAGCTTCGGCGAAATAGTGTCGCCTTGTCGAACCCCCTTCCCAATTGGAATGGTTAGGGGGCGATGGAATAGCTGCATCGTTGTTGTACAGTCCTTGTAGCAGTCGGCTAGTGTCCTCACGTAAGCTGGTTCCACTCCTTGATCGACTAGCGCAGACAGGATGGCGTTGGTTTCGACGCTGTCAAAGGCTTTCTCGTAGTCGACGAAGGTTAGGACGAGAGGCAGTCGGTACTCCCGGCAGACTTCTATGACCCTCGAAACCGTCTGGATGTGGTCCATGCAGCTGAATCCTTTGCGAAATCCAGCTTGTTCTTGGGGTTGGGCTTCATCCAGTGTCCTAGATATGCGTGCGAGGATAATCTTCGTGAAGAGCTTGTACAGCACACTCAGCAGGCATATTGGACGGTAATTTCGAAGATCTTCCCGTTCACCCTTCTTAAAAAGAAGGACGGTTCTTGACGTTCTCCACTGGTCGGGAATCCTCTCCTTCTGAAGGTAAGATGTCAGGTGCGTCGCGAGAATCTCGTGTAGACGTTGTTCTCCGGCTCGCAGAAATTCGACGGAAAGATGGTCTGGTCCTGGAGCCGTGGATGTCTTCATGGTCTGGATCGCCGTGCGCACTTCAGCAGGTAGAATTCGTGGTGGTACTTCTCCAGTGGGAACAACGGGCATCGGCACGGGTGTTGATGAGCGGAAGAGGTTGGTATAGAAGTTCTTCGCGATAGATTCCATCTTGTATCGGGAAGAAGTCGGAGTCCCGTCTTCGTTCAATAGTGCAGCCAGCGGTACGTGATATTCACAGAGGTCCCTTCGGCATTTCTTAAGACTTCGTCTTTCTTTCTTTCTATAACCATATGCATGTGGTTATATATTCTATAACCACATGCAAATGAGATTGAGTAAATTCGGAATTATGGAAGACAAAAGCAAGCAGGATGTGACAAAGTCTGGAATTTGCGAAATCAACAACTCATTCTGTCTATGATTGCTCACTTTCATGCAACATGAATTAGCAGGCTAATGTCAAACGCTTGCTGAAAAGGTACTTTGGTTAATATTCATGGTTTTTCAGAATTTCATAAGTGTTTGATAGCCGATACTACATGATGCTGCCTTCTTGTGGCGTATATTGATGTGTATAAGATGTAGGTGCACGCAGTACGCCAGCGATGAAACTCGTCCGAAACTGCGACCGTTCTGACAGGTCAGCCGCTTGCTTACACACAGCGTCCAATCACGGCGCGACCTCTGCGGGTAGGCTGACCTAACTATCGTCGCGATTGGAGCGGTGAAGGGCCTACACCAGTTGCGCATGATTCAAATTGTAGTATTTGGTGTTTCGATTCTTGTGACGTTGAGTACGCTTGAACGAACTAATCGAAATTTGACAACATGGATTAGGCTCTTACTAGAAAAAAGAGGAAAAGGAGATTGTCAATAACGCTTTTCGCTTAACACAGTCCGATTTTTGCTCTCACATCTCATTGTCAGTTTAGAGGCGCCGTCTGCCCAGATTCTCGATTTCTATGTTTTGGCCTTTTTAGGGCCTTCTCGTGTCTCTGAGTGTGAATAAGTTGAGAATCCGCGAAAACCCCAACAAATTTCGTTTCGAAGAACCCACAGGCCGGTTCTCCGGAACGGTAATTGGAACGGGCACGCAGGGATGGGCGGACATTATCAAAGGGAAGAGGGGAGGGGGAAGACTTAGAGTCCTCATGCCTCTATGCCATTCCGAAACTATTTTTTCGCTTTCGAAGCAACATTTTGCGCCGCGACTTGGGCATTTGCTTGATAACAGGTCCCGTACGCTGCCAAAAGTTCCAGAAGCCTAACATAGAGTGGACGGTGCTTTTAAGCGAAGTTGGTCTTGCGTTTTTGCAGGAACCATTTTTTGGTACATTAGCTATTTATACATTGAGTAGGCGCAAAGCCAGGGCAGGGGCTGAGCAATTTCTAGCGTTAGATGAATTGCGAATATCGCTTAACCTAAAATCCTAGCTTTTATGCTAACGCCACTTTTATTCTAAACTTTAAAAGCTCTTGCTCGATGGTTTGTTAGTGCGTTAGTACCAGTAAAAGAAGAACGTACTTTTCTCTCATTGAGAAGTTTGTCTAAATTCTTGCATAATGCAGCTTTGACGTAAAACCGCTCAAGAGTACAAAGTTGTCTTGGCTTGCTCTCAATCCTCCTCTATCTTTCTACACCCATAAAACGTCAGCGAACTTTGTACGCTTTGCACCTCAGCAATGCTCAGGTCTTGCGAATAGAGAACATATGAAATATTATATTATGTGTCATCAAAATTTTTCTCACTAGTCATCAAAGCGTTTGAGCTTCGCCAGGAAACAATGGTCACACAACAATCTCATCTTCTTTCTCAAACGTAGGAAAATATCGAATGCGCTTCCAAAATTCGCAAAAAAGGAACTAAGTGTGACATGCAATTTAACGGAAGATAATCCAAGCGTGAAGAAGTTAAGCAGGAACATCTTGTCGACGTGATTGAACAAATCAACAAGACTCCAGTTTACAAAGCGAAGGAAGTGTCAATGTTTTATGCTTGAAGGCAGGGGCTCGGGAATACTGCAACTGCGCTTTTTCTGTTCCTCCTTGGCCTTCTGAATGCGTTTAGACCAGAGCTGTGCTTGAAAACTCAAAAAAAAAAATGCTTCTTATGGCGTTTTCCGGCCTTGGAGATTGCTGAGGAGGCTGGAGCGAAGATTCTCTCCAGAGACAGTACTGGCCGTGGAGACTGTAACACCACTCATTTTGGCGGCAATTGGCTGTTTAGCCCAAGCAGATGATCGCGACTAGCCTGCGGGAATTTCTGCTCTAACCTCCTCAGCGAGCTCCAAGGCAGGAGAACGCCATAAAAATTTTTGACTTTTCAAGCACAACTCTGGTCTTAACCAAGGGGAGGAACAGAAAGGGCGCAGTTGCAATTTTTCCGAGCCCCTGCCTTCAAGCTTAAGGCATTGACAAACTTCCTTCGCTTTGCAAACTGGAGTCTTGTTGTTTTTTAATCACATCGACAAGATGTTCCTGCTTAACTTCTTCACGCTTGGGTTGTCTTCCGTTAAATTGCATGTCACACTTAGTTCCTTTTTTGCGAATTTTGGAAGCCATTCGATGTTTTCCTACGTTTGAAAAAGATGAGATTAATGTGTGACGATTTCTGGCTAAGTTCAAGCGCTTTGCTGGCTAGAGAGAGAAATTTTGACGGCACATAATGAAACAATTTATATGATCTCTGTTCGCAAGACCTGAGCATTGCTGAAGTGCAAAGCGAACAAATTTCATTGACTTTTTATGGACGAAGACAGATAAAGGAGGATTGAGAGCAAGCAAAAATAACTTTGTACTCTTAAGCGGTTTTACGTCAAAACTGCATTATGCAAAAATTTAGACAAATAAAGGAAAACGTACCTTTTTTACTAGCAGTAACGCACCAACAAACCACCGAGCAAAAACTCTCAAAATTCAGAATAAAAGTGACGTTAACAAAATAGCTAGGACGTTCAAGATGGGCGGTATTCGATTTCATCTAGCAATAAAAATTGCTCACTCTGCTCTGGCCTCGCGCCTACTCATTGTAGAAATGCATCTTTAAGTAAAGTTGGTCTCGCGTTATTGCAGGAACCAACCACTTTACGGTACGTAAGGAAGCTACATGAAGACTTTTTGCAATTGTAACACTACTGTAAGGCGCAGCTGGTCACAGTGTCTTTAGTGAATTTAACAACGCTCAGCTCTCTTTCAAAAAGCCCTTCGATACTTCTTGGATCGGATTTCTCTATCAGAGCAACCGTCAGGTTTTGCTTGGAGGGCTTAACGAAACCACAGCCGAACGGGCAGATCACCTAAGCATTTAACCTTTGAAAAGTTCCAACTGCTCAGTTTCGACTATGTGAAGCATTTGCCAGTGGGTTGATGACTTTGAGATTTGAATGATAGGGCAGAACACTCCTGGGACATCAAGCCGATAAGTATAGAAACAAGAGAGCGATGAGATGCACAAAAGTATTCGATGCGGTTGTGGTGCCATCCTAATGAGCTAAAATAGAAACATTTGAAGTTTAATTTACTCTGGGAAATGTTTTGGAAGAAACATGAAAATAGCATAATCTTTTCCAAGAGTGAATGACGAATAACAATGAAACAATGAAACAAATCATTCAAGAATATACGAACGGTGCAGTTCAAAAAGTGGATATGGCGAGAAACCTTGCTCCGTTGCGCGTGCGGTCTCCCGTTCTACCACTTTTCAAGCTTGCTTCACGATTTTATGTTAGATATGCATATGAAAAATCAACACTTATCTTTTCAAACTTATTTGTTGCAAAAGCTAATCTTATTTTAGTGAACGAGACAGACATTGCCTTCAAAAGGACCTCGGTGCCGCGCCTACCCCCGGCGATTCTTTTAGTTGTTGTTAGTTTTTTTTGAGAGGTCAGTTATCTCGAAGAAAAAGTAATCATAAGTTTTTACCATTCAACTGTACCGCAACGGTAAGCTGATCGCAAGCATAAAATCATTTTGAAGCAAATCATACTTATTGTGCTTGTTGTATTTGTTTATTGCTGTATTCCAAGTTTATTGTCGCATTTTCAGGTAATCGCCGGGAGCAGGCGGTCCGCAAATTCGCGCTTTTCTGCAAGCGGTCAGCAAGGTTTTGGGGTGTGGCCAAAGCTTCAGCGAGCGGTACTTCTGCCACTCTGCCACGCTCATCAAATAATCTCTTTCAGCGAGCGCGGGGCAAATTTTCAGCAGGCTCTCGGACTGTTCTTACGCAGTTTCGGGCGTACGCCGAGCAGAGATGAGACTCTGTGCGGCAGAGGGGTCATCAATGGTTTAATTACCCGAGTTTGGGGCACTTTCGCTTAGCGAGAGGAACCTAAGGCTGTGCATTCCTCCACAAAGAACCGTGTGGCTCTTAATATGCATATTCTCGCGAAAAGAGAATGCGAAAACCGCGATTGCTCCGAATATTCATCAAAAATCGGCTAACTTTCTTCCGAATTTCAGCAGCGGACAGCAAGAAATCAGCGAGCAATTTTTCTAATGCACGCTTGCCCAAAAATCGTATGACCATCTGCTCCCGGCGATTATCTGAGTTTGTGAGGCGGTATATCGTTTACGGATGTACTTCATCAACAAGCGCACGCGAAGATAAGCCTAAGCAAAGTGGACGGAGCTGTTGGTGGACGACCTTCAAAGTCAGGATTGAGGATCATGCATTTTGATCAGCCAGTACTGAAAGATTATCAAGATACATAGCATCACACGCACCGTACAATACACATCTACACTTCTTTTTCTCGAACACCGTTATTGTTTTAGAAAAAAACTGCGATCAAGTTTGAGGTCGCACAACCCCTCTTCTTTCATTGATTTATGATTTTATTTACCCTAATTTCACACGTACAGTGACCGCCAAAAAGTTGCGGACAAGCCTCCCTCCCTTCTTCATCGCTCTTTTTCAGAGGGAAAATAATGATGAAAAATGTAATAATTACATGAGGTGATAGAGCTCTTCAAGGTCTACAATCTACACTTCGAGTTTTTTGAGAAACATGTGTTCTAAAAATTTTAAGAATCTTTTTCTAAAAAAAGTCCGAAAATGGCCGCGTCACAATATCGCGGACAATAATTCTTCGAACGCAAAAATTTTCTTTTGAGTCCTACTTCAAAGCGGAAACACAAGTTGTCCGGACGGGTAAGCATACTACTGTACAGAGCGCGTCAAGAACTACACACTGGTTATGGTTGCTTCCCCAAAAAACGCAAGCTTGAGTTTTATTTTGGTTTTTTCAAAAAACAACTTCTAATTTCCCTTATCAGGCCAAATTTCTTTACACGGAAACCTGTTCAAGACATCCTAAGAAAGCCGTCTGGATAAAATAGATACTCTTTGCCATCTTCTATGCATCGCACGTGTGCTGATGAGTTTCTTGGCTGAAAATGGCCCTCGGCAGTGCTTGCACGTGACCCCACCTGCACCTCACCACTGACTTGTACCAATTTGCAGGCTTGTAACTCGGCCTGCAGTCAATATTTGAGCCTGCAATTAGGCTCATTCGAAAAAACGAGACTTCCTCTGCACGATGGTATGCAAATAAGTTCAGTTTGAGCAATCCCAGAGATTTGGCGGATGGGGTGGTAGGGGACAGCTTCAGTTGTAGTCTAAGCACTTTTCAGCTAAAGTTGAAGAGAGCTGCTTTCGCTACCAATTTCATCCTGAAAGTTTAAAACTGTCAATTTTCTTATAATAGATCCATTTCGAAGCTCTAAGACTGTTCTGGTGTTCATAAGAGCCGTCACTCCAATCACCTCTGAGGCTCTCCGCTACCACCCCATCCGCCAAATCTCTGGGATTGCTCAAACTGAACTTATTTGCATACCATCGTGTAGAGGAAGTCTCGTTTTTTCGAATGAGCCTACTTGCAGACTCGTAGAGTGACTGCTGGTCGAGCTACAACCCTGCAATGGGGTGTAACTCAGTGGTGAGGTGCAGGTGGGGTCGTGTGTATGCACTGTCAAAAGCCATTTTCAGCAAAGAAACTCACCAGCACACGTCCGATGCATAATGGCAAAGAGTATCTATTTTATTCAGACGGCTTTCTTAGGATGTCTTGAACAGGTTTCCGTGTAAAGAAATTTGGCCTGATAAGGGAAATTAGAAGTTGTTTTTTGAAAAAACCAAAATAAAACTCAAGCTTGCGTTTTTTGGGGAAGCAACCATAACCAGTGTGTAGTTCTTGACGCGCTCTGTACAGTAGTATGCTTACCCGTCCGGATAACTTGTGTTTCCGCTTTGAAGTAGGACTCAAAAGAAAATTTTTGCGTTCGAAGAATTATTGTCCGCGATATTGTGACGCGGCCATTTTCGGACTTTTTTTAGAAAAAGATTCTTAAAATTTTTAGAACAAATGTTTCTCAAAAAACTCGAAGTGTAGATTGTAGACCTTGAAGAGCTCTATTACCTCATGTAATTATTATATTTTTTTATCCCTGTTTTCCCTCTGAAAAAGAGCGATGAAAAAGGGAGGGAAGCTTGTCCGCAACTTTTTGGCGGTCACTGTATAAGACGCACCTTTTTCGGTTTTTTAAGCGTGCCGCTCAGCCGCCCCGTGTTTTGGAAACGAACTTATGTCGCACGATACTCTCAGGCAATGTCCAGCACTGTGAATAATTTTTTGGTCGCAAAGTCCTTCTGTATACTGAGCTGTTCGATTGTAGAAAAAAATCTCCGCGTTCTATACGCGTAAAATTAGAGTATTTACTCATTTACAAAACACCGTAAACGTCCGTAAACCATATACCAGCTACCAGCTTACAAATACAATAAACAAGAGAATATGGATCACTTAACGGGGTGAGAGAAGAGGCAAGAATAACTTTAGATTTGCTTAACTTTAAAATCGTATCCATGTAACAAATTCTATTGAATTTTCAAACATTAGCTAAAAAGAATTAATAAAGCCCACTAATGGTTGCTGAAGCCATAAATGATGACATGTGGGCTGTAACTTTTAACAGCAGGATGTGTCATTGTATATGAATGCATATATGTGACACATTCCCCTGTATACACATTCCTTCTGTATACCACTTCTCACAGTTTTTGAGCGATAACTGTAACAGATTTTCTGTTTGATCGCAGTTTTTTTTTTGTGATACAGCCAATTGCAAATATCAGCTAGATCTTTTTGTTTTTTCTTACATGAGAATGATGCATAAATTTGAAATTGACTTTCTGGTATAGTATGGAATATAGTATGGAACTCGGCCAGCTTCCCATATGTACCACCGCAACGCAGTCTCGATTTGACGCTTCTCGTTATTTGCTTCACTTACGAACACAAAAGCATTTCTGCTTGAAAAAGGAATGAAATGAGAAGTGGAAACTTTTATACAAAACTTGAGGGAAGACAAAGCATTAAGAGAACGTTCATAAATTTCTGAGCGCTGAGATTTCAGTCAGTCTCATTGATGCTAGTACGACACTTCCGGTGATGGGTGATAGAGGTACCAGAAGAAGTCGAGGAACACCTTTGAAACGTTTTTTCTGTGGCCACAAAAACTAGAAAGTTTGAGATCGAAAGCAGAATGTTAGGAGCTAAAGCCTAGAAAGACCTTTGATAAGAATCAATCGGACATACAGGCTTAATCTATAACATAATAACAGCCATCAAAGAGACATCTCCATATACTACATCCAAATCTTCACTATCGAGAAGAAAAGAGATTTTCGATTGAAAGCATTCAAGTCTGTCAAGTTTCGTTGAAACTCATTAACGGCAGTTGTCGTGAGTTTTTTGCACTCAAAACAGAGAAATTACAGAATAGAACAAAGCCACTCGAGCGAGAAAAGCGAAAAAAAACAGCAGACTGAAACGAAAAAGGCAGTAAAGGCATGCGCTGCGCGCGCGTCGCGGAGGAACCTATAGGAAGCTGGCCGGGGTCCACACTATAACAGTTTGTGATTTTATGCTCGCAATCAGCTTAACGTTGCGGTACAGTTGAATGGTAAACAAGTTATGGTTCTTTTTTCCCCGCAAATAATTGACCTCTCAAAAAAGCCAACAACAATACATACAAGGAATCGCCGAGGTGGGCGGACATGCGAATGAAAGGCAAGGGGCCGGAAAATAGTATGCTGATTTCTTGCGGCCCGCTTGCAGATATTCGGAATAATGTTGGCTATTTCTTTGTATATTTTTGAATGTTTTGTTTCGTTGTTTCTTTGTCTTTCGTCATTCACTTTTGGAAAGGATTATGCTCTTTTCATCTTTCTTCCAAAACCTTTTCCCCGAGAGAATTGAACTTCAAATGTATCTATTAGCTCATTAGGATGGCACCACAACCACATCGATTGCTTTTGTGCATTTTATTGTTTTACTATTTCTACACTTATCGGCTCAATGTCTCAGGAGTGTTCTGCCCTATCATCCGAATTTTGAAGTCATCAACCCTCTGGCAGATGTTTTACATGGTTGAAACTGAACAGAAAGCTCTTTAAGGTTTGAATGCTTGCTCAAACAA